ACATGTTGTTTATGATATTATCCGGATTTAGGAAATTGACCCATCCTGCAACTAGAAGCCACATCAGCTAAATTTAAAAAAAGGTTTCCTATGCCCGGTGAAGTGATCATGTTACTTACCTTGTCATCACTTCACTAATTTCCTCCCATTAGTGGAGTCTCAGAAGTACTCCAGTAAAGTTGTCTGATCCAACAAGATATAAAAACTGAAGAATACAAGTGAAAAATGAAAGGACCCTCTACATCACAATTAGGTAGATAACAGATTTAGAATACAGTGTCCAGAATGTAAGCTTCATTTAGAAGTTTGCTAATAACTGGTTCTAGATTTTTAAAAAACCTCATTCTCTTATGTCATATTCAATAATACTTAATATACCATCATGGTATATTTAATCCAGAAAAAAAAATAAGTTTTTCTTAGAACACTCCATTGAGCTACTCAACCATTCTTATATTAAATTCAACTGAGGGCTCAGAGGATAGGGAGGACTTGAATTGTGAGATAAGCCTGGAAATCAAGAAAACAGTCACAGAAAATATCTTTCTGTCAAACCAATCAATCACACTTTGAATCTATAGACAAGGCGACAGTGAAAGATCTGTCGTTCATTTTATCCAAACTAGTTATAGCAGCAGCTTAAACTATAGAGTAACTGCACATTGCTCTAGTCAGTTTCTAGTATTAAATACACTCAGGATCACTAGCTTTCCCTCCTCCCCAAACCCAATCCTTTCTCTCTTTATATTCACTCAATAACTATTTTGATAGCCCATAATGGCTATCAAATAAATAGAAAGGTCACATTTGACCTCATATTTTAGATGAGCAACAGGCCATTGCAATGGCAATTCCCCACCAAAAATGCTTTCCTCCAGGTATCTGCATGGTTAATTCTTCACCCTTCAAGGTCACCTTAACATCTTTATAATATAACCTACCTACCAGATTCAAAAATCTTGCTATTTTTTTTCGTAGCACTAATCATCTAAGATATCATTTAATTTACATTTGATGTATATTATTGGTCCCTCACTACTAGTATTACTAGCTATATGAAAGCAGGGATCTCTATGTTGTTCATTAACATCAAGCAACTAGAACTTGCACAACCTATGTGCTCAGTACTCATGGAGTGAATTTATTAATGCTGGTAACATGCTCCCTTTAGATAAACTATTCCTACATCTCCACTTCCATCCTGAGTCCTTTCAAGAGTATGTCTCACAGACACATCTAACTCAAAATGCCAAAACAGTTCTTCACATCTCAGAAGCCTGCTTTATCTCTTGTCTTCCTCATTTTGGTCAATGACACCACCAAGTACCCAAAGGCCAAATCAGAAACCGGAGTCATACGAGACCTAAAACTTTTCATATCTAACTATTCACTAAATCCAGTTATTTCTGTCATCTCAATACATAAAGCACGTGTATCCACACTTACCTATCCCTGATCCACACTTACCTATCCCTGCTGCCAATGTCTTTGTTCAGGTTCTCTTAACTTAGCCATTGGACACCCCGGTAGTGAAACACTGGTCTCCCTCCTTCTGGAGTCACCTTCCCACCCTGCAAGCTACAGCCAGAGTGTTCATTATGATAAGACATCTGATTTAAAAATCTGTGGTTCCCCTTATCCTAAAGAATGAAGTCTCAACCCTAAAACTTGAAAAAGGCTTATTTATGACCTTGCTCCTGCCTTTCCAGCTTCAACTCCTACCACTTCCTCAACAGTCTCCAGAACCTCTAGACATATCACCTACTTCTTGTTCTGCAAGAGTGCCACGATTTCTCACCACACCTTGGCATGTTTCTCCCCTACCTAGAATTATCTTTCTTCTACTTACCTGCCTTCATCCTCTAATCTTCCTCATTCAGCTCAAAGGTCAGTTCTTGTTATACTCTTTAGAAACAATAAAGTTGTTCCTTCCTTAGGCCTCTTAAAACACCCTGCAGTAATAGTACAATATAACATCATATTCAATTTACTTTTCTTCCTCTTTTCCTTCCCAAACTAAATACCACTTGCAAAGGCACATTCTGTGTACCTCTTACTCCTGTTGCTTAGCAAAGGTACTTATTAAATGTTGTCCAAATAAATAAACATAATATTCATATGAGCGCCATTCTAGGAAACATCAATATTATGTACCTTTCAATTATTCAGAAAACTTCCAATGAGCACTATTAGATTATAGTTCCTGTCACACTTCTCATGACACTTGTCATTTCATTTTTGAGCAAAAGGTAGTAGTGAGACTCTTTTAGCTCTACCACCTAAAGCAGTAATTCTGAACCTTGGCTACACACCTAAAGAGCTTTAAAAAATACTGATGCACAGGCTCTATCCTGACATTCCTATATAATTGGCCTGGGGTAGGACCTTGTCACTTTTTAAAAATCTTATCTCATCTCAAGATGAGATCCAATGATCTATATAGCAAGGTAAACAGATTCCTAACATATTAAATTGAAACAAGAAGCTTTTAAGGGCTGTCTTGAACCTAAAAACTACATAATTCTATTTCTATTGGAAAATGTTTAAAATTCCAGACAACTAAATTAAAAATGAACTTTAGAACATAATTATTTAAAGTCTGTGGAAAAAACTAACATTGATGCCAATTAAAATGATCAGAACGGATCAAAGTATCGACTAGAATCACCGCTCAGTGCTCAGAGATAACTGTAGGCAATGGAAGTTAAGAAAGCCAAGAAAATTTAAATAGAATCATGATAGATTGCTTAAATGTGGATAACAATAGCGAACAGCATCCAAGAAAAGGAAAAGGAATTAAGGAAGACAATGTGTACATAAGAAAGATAGAACTGACAAGAGAAGATTCTCATTGCAAAGAAGTAGGAAATAGATCTGCATAGGTATTCAACAAGCTTTCATTTCTTTCCC